GCCCCACCCCCAAGGGCACAGGGTAGGGCATCCGATCCCTTGTTTGTTCATTCTACAAACACCTCCTGTGGCCTGGGTGGGCTGTCAGTGGCGAGGCTGAGGCACACGGAGCTGTGAGGTCCTGTCCCTCCCCGGCCCCAAGGAGCCCAGAGTCAAGTGCAAGGGACAGAGGGAGAGTTCTTGGGCACTGAGCTCCCAGGCGGCGAGCCCTGGGGAAGATCCTCCCCACCCAAGAGAGCAACTCCGCCTGGGGAGTAGCTCAGGGAAGCCTGTCCTCACCTGGCAGAGAGGACGCCTGGCCCTGAGCGGGCTGGGCGCAGCAGGCAGAGATGGCATGTGCCCATACAATCTCTTGGGAAAGCAGGCACAACCCAAAGTGCCAGCAGATTTTTAAGTACAGGGTTGGGCCCTGGTCAGGGGGCTCAGTTGGTTGGAGTGTCATCCCATGCACCGAAAGATTGCAGGTTTGACCCCTGGTCAGGGCGCATACGGGAAACAACCTACGTCTCTCACATCCATGTTTTCCTGTCTCTGTCTCTTTCTCCCTTCCTCTCTCTAGAACCATAAACATATCCTTGGGAAAGAATTATTTTTTAAAAAAAGGGAACTTTTAAAAAACACAGGGTTGGCCTAAAAGACTCTCTGCCCAGCTCCATTTCCCATTGGTCCCTGTCCCACAGCCACTAGGGCAGGCCAGGCACCTCACCGGGGTCCCCCTGCCTTGTTCACACCTACCTCCAGACTCCTGCTCCTGCTGTTGAGTAGTTGCTTATGCCCTGGCTGGTATGACTCAGTGGATTGAGCACCAGCCTGCAAACCAAGGGGCTGCTGGTTCGATTCCCTGTCAGGACACATGCCTGGGTTGTGGGCCAGGTCCCCAGTGGGGGCGGGGCACATGACAGACAACCACACATTGATGTTTCTCTGCCTCTCTTTCTCCCTCCTGTCTAAAAATTAATTAGTTAATTAATTAAGAATTTCTGTCCCCAGTATCTCAACAGAGGCTTACAGATGGCAGGAATCTCAGTGGGGAAGGAGGCTGAGGACCCAGGGCTGCCTGCCCTCACCCCAGATGCCGATGCTCTGCCAGCCTCCACCTGCCCTTCTGCCGGCTGGGAGCAGCTTCGAAGGCCCAGGGTGGGAGGAGGGCTAGAGAAGTGAGTGGCTGGGGCCTGGGTGTTGTGACCAATCATCCACTCCACAGACACTTACTGAGCAACTACTATGTGCCAGTCAGGGACTGTGCTAGAGGCTAGGGATGCAGCAGAGACCAAAAGAGGAAAAAACAAAACAAAACAAAAAAAACACCTCTGCCCTGGCAGACCATAAACGAAGACTGACTTGTCAAGTGTTTTAAAGAAACAGAGCAGGGACAGGGAGATGGAGCGTAACAGGTTGGGGTTGAGGCTGTGTGGGATACAGCGGTCAGAGGGTCCTTTCTGCAGAGGGGACACCTGGGAAGATACCTGAATGCACTAAGGGCGTGGGCCACACAGATATCCAGGGAAAGAGCTTTCCAGACAGAGGGACCAGCCAATGCCGAGGGCCAGAGGCGGGCTTGTGCCTGCAGCGTCCCAGGAGCAGCGAGGGGCTGTGGGGGCCGAGCGGAGGGACAGAAGACGTGGAAGGAGACGCAGTCAGAAGGTGAGGGGGAGGCAGCAAGCAGGGCGGTGGGCACTCTAAGTGTCCGCCCCTCAGGGTTTCTGGGTCCTAGGGGTGCCCCAGGGCTCACCTCTCCTCCTGGTCTCCCAGACACACGAGCACCCAGAGGGGCCGGCACAGCTCCCTCCAGCTGGCCAGGCTCTGCCCCCCACCGTGCTCAGAGCCCCCAGGGGACTGGGGCTCCGTTCACAGCACAGCAGCTGCGTGCGGAGCTGTCACACAGCCAGCCTCGGGGCTCAGGCTGTGGCCCTGCCAGGCCCCGTCCACGCCCGTGCCGAGGGGGCCGCACTGGCGGGGCCAATCAAACACCACTCTGAGGCTCGGCCCCGGGAGCTGGGGCTGGGGTCGGACTAGCAACAGGCTGCCCCTCGGCATCTCTGGAATATCAACGGGGGTGCAGGGATACAACAGGATGATCAGGCCTTGGAACTCCCCACCATCCGAGGGACAGGATGGCTCCAAGGAACAGGCCTGGGCCCCCATGCCCCTTCTTGCCACACCCAGAAAGGCCATCTAGTCCCCCCGCCCGGGAAAGTGGGCCCAGATGTGCCCAGGGTGCTGGAACTGCTCACTGGAGAGGACCAGAACCAAGCCCCCAGGGGCCCCGTGGAGAGGCCCCTGCTATCTTGAAGCTCTATGCCAATGTCTCAATCTACGCTGGGCTCAACCCAGGAGCTCCCCGCCTAGACACCAGAGCTGGGTTCTAGTCCCAGCTCTCCCACGTTCTACTTGTGTGGCCTTGGGAGAGTGACATACCCTCTCTGGCCTCCATTTCCCCATCTATAAAATGGGCACAATTATGCTCCCTGTAGGTCCCGGAGCCCACCACACAGCAGGTGCCTGGGACATGCTGGCCGAGCTCTCACCACAGCCCCGATGTGCACCCTAAGCCTGGTGGGTGCACCCCCCTCCGCCCCGCTCCCCGACGCTCCTCTGAGCAGCTCACTGATTTATACCTCAGAGGACAGATCAATACAACATACGGCCAAAGGCACCTTCAATCTTTCTCGGGGATTAGGCTACAAGGTACAGCGGCCTCTTTCCACTGACCATTCAATTCTGATCTCTATTTGGCCAGCTGGAGCATGGCTTTCTCTCTCCTTTTCTTTTCACTCATCTACCGACGGTCCCCCCAAATCAAACTCATTTAGCAGGCCGGGCGACAACAGGAGGGTCTGGAGGCGTGGGAAGTGCAGCCGTGGGAGGCCCAGCCCTCACCATGGGATGGGGAGCAGGTGGGAGGGTGCTGGGGGGCGCCGGTGCCAGGGCAGGGGTGCCCTTGAGCTGGGGGCTCTGGGAGAGTGGCTAGTTCTCTTACTTTTCTGTAAGTCCTTAAAAATCTTGAGGAAAATAAATTGTATTTATTTTCTAACTACCCAATGCCTGAGTAGGTGCTTGTGAAAAATTAGTTTCAGATAAAATGCAGTACCCAGACCTCACACATATCTCCTGCCTCCCCAGCTCTTAACACCGTGTGTGTATGTGTGTATGTGTGTGTGCATACGTGAGTGTGTGTGCGCGCACGCACGCATGCACGTGCCCTGCATAGGGCCAGTCCACAAGGGTCTCAGTCAGCACAGCGGGAAACAACAGAAGCTAGAGTCACAAGAACACAAGAGCAGTTAGCACCCCTAGTCCTGGAGCCAGACTGCCAGGGTTCAGATCCCTTCTCTACAAATAATGTGTGTGTGACCTGCTGCCAGTTATTACTTGGCCTCTCTGTGCCTCAGGCCCTCCCTGTAAAATGGGGTGTCTACCTCACGGGACAGAGCAGAATACCCAGGACAACGGGGTAAGCCAGGTACTCTGCCTCTCTGGACACATGTGAAGGGCTAGAAAGTATTGGGGGTGCTGTAAGTCCCTTAGTGTAGGGGCTAAACTCTAAGATGCTGAACTTTCTGTCCCTGCCCCCATCCGGCACCTTTGTCACCCAATCCTGCAGAGGTTGCACCTTGAACAGAAAGGCAATGGGCTTACTTGGAGGGGGCATGGGCCAGCCCAGAGTCTGATGCACACAGCCAGAGGGAGGGGGCTTTTGCACTGCACCACGGTGTGACACAGTCACCAGGAGTCTTGGGGAGCTGCCCCCCATCTGGCTGGAGGTGGGAGTGGGGCTGGCCAGCCCTCCGTCCTTCTGCCAGCCCAGCTGCTAGAGCGGGCAGTGGCCCGGAGCCACAGCCATCCGTCAGCTGCCACCCCACTTTCACCCGCCGCCCTCTCCACCAGGTCGCAGGTACCCAAGTGGCTTTGGCTGTACAATTAAAGGGGCTTATCCAAGATTTATAGTGGGATTATGCCCAAAGGGTGTTACCAACACCAGCCTCTAGACACTGGTCCTTAGAAAAAGCAATTAGAGTCCGTGGTTATATGGGCATAAACACAGAGGCGCCACCCCCCCCCCCCCAGGCCATGTGTGCTACAGGAGCTATTCGGAGAAAAGGCCTCGGGAGAGAGGGCAGAGGGGGCCCTCCCTACCGGAAGGTGGGTCTGCCAGGAGGAGGAGGGGCCCCCCACTGCCCTCAATCAGTCGTCCCTCCAGGCAGGGCTCACCCAACTCAGGGGGAGCCCCCCCGCCCAGGGCCCAGCACCATAGCCCCGAGGAGGCTGCCCTCCCCCGGCTGGGCCACCGGAACAGACCCCCTCGGAGGCCCAGGTTTCAGCCTGCCCAGGTGTTAAACCCCTGTTGTTTCCCTCTTATCGCTTGCTAATGCCAAGAGCTTTATCACTGGAGCTTCTGAAGCAATTAGGAAAAGCAGGGAGCTTAACCAGGGAGAGGCAGCCTGTGGCAGTGGGAGGAGCCCGAGGAAACTCACACTTTTCCACAGTCCTCAAATCCCACCCCCGGGGCACCCATTGCACTGAAGCCCGAGCTGAGACAGAGACAGCGGTGAGATGTGACTCCCACAGCCCCCGCCCCCCACCCCTACCAGACTGTTCAGTCTTAGGGACCCCGAGTTCCCTACCTTCCAAGAACCTGCTGGCCCCGAGGCCCCCTTAGACAAGGCCACCTCCGACCACCCTGTCCCCTCCTCTCTGCCTGAGGACAGCAGCTGTTACACCAGCTCCCACGGCAGGAATGCTGACCGTCCCCCTGCGTCGGTCTCACCTGCAGAAGTCCTTCACGTGCAGCCCCGCCCCCAGGAGTCACCCAGCTGCCTGGCACAGCCACAGCCCAGTCCCCGGTACTCAGAGGGGGGACCGAGGCCCACAGGGGGCACGGCCCAGGGCAGGCAGAGCCCCCAAGCAGGACCGGAGCAGGGCTCTCGGCCAGTGCTCACCGTTGTGTTGTGACCTCCCCCCGTCCCCGAGCAGGACCCTGCAGATGGCGCCTGACTCACCGTCCTCTCGGGACTTCTGGATGAAGGCCTCCACGCCGCTCTCGCCGTAGCTGCCCTCTGAGGCCAACGTGGACACGTAGTTCCACTTGAGGGCGCGGACGATGTCCACCATGGCCTGGGCCTGGTACGTGTCCGAGGGCACCACTCGGGAGAAGAAGTCGTAGCGGCTGTTGTCGCTCAAGTCGGGGGCTGTGGAGGCGTAGCTGATCTGGGGGATCTGGGGGTGAGAGGGGCCACTAATGGGGGTGGTTGGCACCCTCACCCTGCCCAGCCAGCACCACACCCCTATGCACCGACCTTCCTCCGGTCCCACGGCCCAGCCCTCCCCAGGGGCGCGGCCTCCTCTGATGCTGGGGAGACCCTGGGACACGGAGGAAACTGAGGCCCAGAGAGAGGTTGGGCAGGGGCTTGGCCGGCCCTACCCCCGGCTCCAGCCCGGGGTCCCGATGCCTCCCACCTCCAGTCAGATCCTGTGCTCTGGGCCCCCCTGCACCCAGCAGAAGTGAGGCTGCATCAGAGTGAGAAGTAACTGTCTTGTCGGCCTCACCGTCCTCCAGAAATCTCCCAGCAGCCTCGGCTGGGTCAGGTGGCTGGTGGTGCCCCAACAGCACACATGTACATGCCACAAAGTCATCAGGAACCTCACACACATGCACACATACACGTGTGTGTATACACACCCCAGGGCCTCTGGGCCAGGGGTGTCCAACCTTTTGGCATCTCTGGGTCACCTAGGAAGAAGAATTGTCTTGGGCCACACATTAAATACATTGCAACACGTAATCTTGAAAAAATCTCATAATGTTTTAAGTTTATGATCTCATTAAGTTTATGATTTTGTATTGGGCCGCACTCACAGCCATCCTGGGCCACAGGTTGGACACCCCTGAAACAGAGGGAAGATTCCAGCTGAGGAAAATCCCCGGGTGAGTGAGATGGTTAGGCCTAGGGGTGCGGTGGTCTGAGGGTCATGAGAGGGAGCCCTGAGGGGTCACTTGGTCCATCCCCTTCCCCCAGGTAGCCCCTAGGTCACCACCCAGCAGAGTCCTGTCCGCACAACTCCCTCCGGGCCCAGGCTCCTTCCTCCTGCCGGGCTCAGAGGAGGCAGAGCCCAGGCTCCAGCCCCTCCAGCCCCACCCTCCCATGGATGGTGCCCCAGGAGGCCATTGAGGGTGGGGCCTCCGGGAAGTCCCTCTCATTATAGCCTGGGACCCAGGACCCAGAGGGGGAGGAGCCCACCAGGCCCACAGCCTCTCCACAGCAGACTCCAGGCCTGCTGCCCAGCCCCTGCTCCCCCAGCTGTGGAGCACTTTCCAGGCCACAGCCCCCACCTGCCCATCCCTGGGGAAAGGTGAGATGCAGAGCCCTTAAGCGCCCCTTCCTCCAGTGGCTGACGACACCACCCCCGAAGGACCTGGAAGGGCCCGTGGACCCTCCTGCACCTTCCCTCCTGCCCGGCCCTCACTCACATCCCCAGAGTGCTCCTCACAGTCCTCCTGCTGCCCCAGGCCCCCGGGGATGCCCTGTGCTCACCATTACTGCCTCTGTGCACACCAAAATGTGCCCTTCCTGCGTGCCCTCTGCCAAGCCCTCAGCTGACCAGGGTGGCAGGATGCAGGGGTCAGCATACCGATCTGGGTTGATGTCAAATCTAACATTTATGTCCCTAAGGAATCACTAACATTCAATCTTGCCAAAAACAAAACCAAAAAACTCGTGGCCAGAGCTTCAATCCCTGTGAAAACTGAGGGTGGGAAAACATTCTGGGGGCAAAAGGACTGGGGTGTCCCCTGGACAAGTGGTTGCCCACCTAGCCTATGCCTGCACCCTATCCCCAAGGAGGGTTGGAGTGCGCCTTCCACTGAGGATCCCTCTTACAAAAAGGGCAGGGCCCCGCTCAGCCCCTGCAGTGCCCCAGCAGGCCCCTCCCTGGGAAAGGACCAAGTCCCTGGGAGGCCGGGGGAGGGACAAACAGACGACCGGTATTCCGGATCTTCGGAGCCACCCTCTCCTTGCAGTCCTGTGGTCTTTGTAGAATGGTATGCTCTGTGTCAGGGGTCCCCGACCCCTGGGCTTCGGACTGGGCCACGCAGCAGGAGGCGGGCAGCAGGTGAGTGAGCCAGTGAACCAGTCCTGGAGCCAAAAAGGCTGGGGACCGCTGTTCTACGTCATTCACTGCAGCGCTCGCTGCAGCAGTGACACTGTGGGAACCACCTGGTGAAAGAAGCTCTGGCCATGTGAGGAACGCCCTGCAGCTGCAAAAAGGGGCGTGCACAACCTTCCACGCACAGCCTTCCACGCACAGCCTTCCACCGCGGCTCTGGACCACTCTCTCGGGCCCAGCGTAAACACAACACGATAGAGAGGCAGGGTGCAGACCTGCTCACTGCATGAGGGCCGTGAACACTCAGCTGTAAACTCTGGGGAGGGACCCGGGCGCTGGGCGGGGTTGGGCAGGGGCCTTTCACCTGGTACCTTCTGCACCTTTTGCGTGCAGCTCCACACGAACATAGCTCCTGTTTAGAACACAAACTACATTTGAATCTTGGTGAGCATCTTTTCCTGCCTGAGATGGCACCCTCTAAAATGTAGACTCTGATTGTCTCATTGACGGTTCATTTAAAAAATATTACTGGTTTTGAGGTCTGGTAATGACATTATAGTTGCAGTTAGCTGGTTGTTGAGAGCCCCTGTGTCTAGAGCAGCGTTCCTTAGCCTCGGCACTATTAATACGTGCTTTGGGGAGACCGCTCTTTGTTGGGGGCTGTCCTGTGCATTGTGGGAGGGTTAGCAGCATCCCCTACCCACTAGACGCCATGGCACACCCCCCCTCCAGCTGTGACAACCGAAAACATCTCTAGACGTTGTCAAATTTCCCCTGAGGACGGCACTGTGCCCGCTGAGACCCACTGTCTTAGAGACACGCTCCAAACCGGCTGGGGATGAAGCGACCCGATGAGGTCGGGGTGCCCTTCAGAGGACCCGGGTGGGAGAGTGGGGGTGAGGGGGCAGCCCGGCCAGAGCTGGCGCCTGTGCACGGCACGCCTAGCAGCGCTCCGGCCGTTTGTTGTGCTTTTGCACGTGTCTGAAATGCCCTTGTTTTTTAATTTGTCAATAAAACAGAACAAAATTAACGCCGCCTCCAACTCACTGCTCTGGACGGAAGTCCCAGAGGCCAGAGCTGGGGCTGGAGAAGGTGGCGGAGGTTGCTGCGGGACCGTGGGGCAGCCTTCCGACTGGCCAGGCGGAGACAGCAGGTCTGTCCCTTTGTTCGGTAGCTCGTCCCGCCCGCCCTAATCACACACCCAGGAACCCGGCCTCCTGCTAATTAGAAGACTGGCTCCTACTTCTGCAGTTCTCTCCCAACACAGCCCAGAATCAAAGGAGGCCCCGGGAGGCATGGGTGCTGGTGGCAGAGCAGGCTGGAGAAGCACTTCCACTCTCCCCGCTCCCTCCTTCCACACCGCCTCCCGCCCCCACTCCCACTCAGGCACTCCGCCCGGCGGGGTCAGCAGACTGACCGACACCATCCAGTTGTCGGGACACAGAGCCCTTCCGGGGAGCCAGGCTGCCCGCAGCGTCAGATCCACACCTGTCCACTCCCCATCCCACCCCCACTCCCCAAAGGGTAGCAGGGCCCAGGGGCCCCTAGCACCCTTCCACGTGTCCCCTCTGCCACATCGCTCAGCTCCAGCCCTCCCGAGCTCCCTGGGGGTGGTTTCAGGCAAAGACTTGGAGCTACACAACTCGGCCACCACCCGCTGGGAAACCTCAGGGAGCCACTGCACCTCTCTGGGCCTCCCTCTCCACGCCGCCAAACGGGAACTTCCTGATCCTGGTCTCTGAGGCCGTGAAGGCCTCGAGCATGAGAAGCCCTGGGGCAGAGCCGCAGGCAGCAAGCACTCTTGTGGGAGCTGTTGTCCCGTCTTCCTCTTGGAAGCCCTCTTCCCTTGCCCCTGACTTTTTTTACTCCGGGACTCTCCCCCACACCCACCCCTCCCACCTCCAGCTCTCAGCGCAGGCTCTGCAGTCCAGAGGTCTGCTGTGCTTGAGGAGGTCTGCAGTCACGCACCTCCCCCTCCTCAGGGGCTGACACCTCCCCCTCGGAGACACTCCACCCCTCCCCCACCCTACCCCAGCCCGGTGTGGGGTGGGAGAGAGCCAGGGGCTGCCCAGGGACACCATGGGCAGGGTGACTGCAACAGTGGCCCGGGTGGGCCTCTGATGTCCCCCTCAGCTCTCACTATCTCCACAGCCCAGCAACAGCAGGGGGTGGTGGGGGGGACAGGGCGGAGGAGGGTCTGGATTAACATTCTCCTCAGGGACGCTCCTCTCCTCCCACAGCAGCAGCGTGAGAGGGAGGGAGGGGGGAGGCAGCCTGCCCACCCGCCGCCAGCTCCTCCCTCTCCGCCTCCCCACTGCCACAACACTTCGAGCACCTACTGGGTGCCGGGTGCTGTTCTAGGTGCTGGGGACACAGTGCCTCCTGCCACAACCTCGGAGGGCGAGAACCAGCAAGGACCCAGATTCCAGCAGTGCTCGGCCAGCCACACGGGTCCTGCTCTAGGTCCGTCTGTCTGTCTTTCTCTTTCCTCCCTGTCCACAGAGCCCGTGACCTCATCTCCTCACATCCACTCTTCCCTGTGAGGCAAACCCCAGCTCAAATTTTGCCTCCTCCAGGCAGCCCTCCCTCTGCCTTCATCCTCCACAGAGTCTGCTCAGACAGCCCACAGGATGGAGTCAGGCTGCTCCAAGGGCACCAGGCACGTCCCCTCAGGTGCTGGGATGCTTGGTCTGCTTGTCAATTCAACAGGCCTTCTAGGCACCCCACTGTGCTGGGCAAGGCCACGTGGGGTTTGTGGGGAGCAGAGGAAGGGAACTGGATTGACCCCAGTCCCAAAATTAGTGACCCCTATTGCATTGTGGGGGACGCCCTGGGGAGGGGCACGTGGAACTCCCTGAGTGACACACAGTGTGTCTGCAGTTGGCCCCAGTGGAGCCTCACTACGGAAGGGCTGAGAGATTTGAAGGGGGAGGGCACCCACTTCTTCAGAGACAAGCAGGTTCATGCCATGTGTGGAAAGACAAAAGCTGCCTCCAGGCTTGAGCAACAATGAACGTGAATGCCAAGTGCACGTGTGTGTGTGTGTGTAGCACAAACATGCACACACACGCACACACAGGGGCATGTGCCCTGGGCACACGAGTATGCAGCAC